CTGCAGCACACGGCTGGCTCCTATTTAAGGGATTGTCCACTAGGACTCTGAGATCCCTCTCACAGTTGCTACTATTGAGCAAGGTACCCCCTATACTATACCTGTACATTTGGTTTTTCTTGCCTAAACGTAGAACCTTACTTTTTTCACCATTCAATTTCATTTTGTTAGATAGTGCCCAGTGTTCAAGTCTGTCCAGATCCTCCTGTATCTTAAGCCTTAAAGTCCCCCAAGCTGGACACGTTCACCCTACTCCCCTAGGCAGACAAATGGCTTCCCAGTCTCTTCTTGAAAACCTCCAGCGATGGAGCACCCACGATTTCCAGGAGAAAACCTTCAGAAGTTTATTTTATTTATTTATCAAATTTAGAGACTTCCGTGCAGTTGTTCCTTTTGTGATAGCTGGCCAACTCCGCTTCTGGATCCAGGCCAAGGCCGAGCTCTGCCCTTAAGTCACGCTGTCACGGGCCGCTCAAACCATGCAGGCTCCCAGCGGGATCTCTGAGCCAAATGGGCCATTTTTCTTGGCGTGTCCTTTTGGCAGCTGACCATCCTTTTTGTTGGCTGCAATGGCTGGAAACGCCCAGAGGTCACTCAGCTGCCCGCTAACCCTCCCCCCAATGCTTTCTCGATGTCCTTCTGGACCCCCACCAGCCTCACCCTCCCTGTTTGGAGGGGCGAGGCTGCCTCTGAAGGTTGGCGTAAAATGCCAGTTAGCCAGGCGGCTGGGATGCCCATCAGTGGCTCTGTCTGCGGCTGAACCTGCCTTGTGGGCACCTCTGTGTGGCATCTATAAAACCCTACTGGGGCCACACCTGGAACACTGCAACCAATTTTGGTCACCATGCTACAAAAAAGATGTTGAGACCTTGGACAATGTTCAGAGAAGAGCAACTAAGATGATCAAAGGCTTGGAGACTAAAACATAGGAAGAACAGCTGCAGGATTTGGGTCTGTCTAGTTTAAGGAAGAGAAGGACGAGGGGGGACATGATAGCAGTGTTCCAATATCTCAGGGGCTGCCCCAAAGAAGAGGGAGTCAAGCTCTTCTCCAAAGCGCCTGAAGGCAGGAGAAGAAGCAACGGATGGAAACTCATCAAGGAGAGAAGCAACCTAGAATTAAGGAGAAACTTCCTAACAGTGAGGACAATTAAGCAGTGGAACAGCTTGCCACCAGAAATCGTGGGCACTCCATCACTGGAGGTTTTTAAGAAGAGGCTGGACAATTACCTGTCTGAGGTGGTATAGGTTCTCCTGCTTGAGCTGGGGGCTGGACTAGAAGACCTCCAAGGTCCCTTCCGGCTCTGTTACTCTATTATTCCATGGAGGGAAGGAAGGAAGGAAGGAAGGAAGGAAGGAAGGAAGGAAGGAAGGAAGGAAGGAAGGAAGGAAGGAAGGAAGGAAGGGTAATGGATGGAAACTCATCAAAGAGAGAAGCAACCTGGAATTAAGGAGAAACTTCCTGACAGTGAGGACAATTAAGCAGTGGAACAGCTTGCCACCAGATGGGCACTCCATCACTGGAGGTTTTTAAGAAGAGACTGGACAGTCACTTGTCTGAGATGGCATAGGTTCTCCTGCTTGAACGGGGGGCTGGACTAGAAGACCTCCAAGGTCCCTTCCAGCTCTATTCTATTCATTCATCTCTCCACAAACGCGTTGTTTAGGAAGGGGAAATGAGCCCCCCTCCTCTCAACTTTTTGAGGCTGTACAGCCTGTCCTCAACTTACAACTACTCTTTTAGAGACCACTCGAAGTTACAACGCCACTGAAAAATGTGACTTATGACCGTTTTTTCACACTTAACCACCATGGCAGCATCCTCATCATCACGCGATCAAAGTTCAGCCACTTGGCAACGGACTCATATTTACGACGGTCGCTGTGTCCTGGAGTCACACAATCCTCTTTTGCAACTTTCCGAGAAGCAAAGTCAAGGGGGGGGGGGAAGCTAGATTCACTTAGTGACGGGGTGATTCACTTAATAAGAATTCACTTAGCATCTCTGGCGAGGAAGGTTGCAACATGGGGCAAAGCTCACTTAAGAGCTGTCTCGCTTAACGACATAAATGTTGGGCTCGGTTGTGGTTGTAAGTAGAGGACTAAAACCTGAATGTTTTTATTGACCGCGGGGGGGGGAGGCAAGAAATGAGTTGAGCCCAGCCTTCCCCCTCTCTTCCTCCCAAATGCCTCAGGGGGGGAGCAGGCCGCCTAATCCCGCACTAAAACATCTGCCCGGGGAATTCTGGGAGTTGAAGTCCGCGAGTCTTAAAGAATCCAAGGTTGAGAAAGGGGAACGAGGCAGCTGTGCGGGCGATGCGGGCGGCTCTGCTGCCACCTCCTGGCCAAACGGGCGTACGGCAGCCTTCCCGCCGCTGATGCCTCCGCTACGCAATCACGGCTTCAAAGGCTCCGCGCGAGCGGGGGGAGGGGAAGCTCGAGGGCATCTAGTCCAGCCCCCTGCGCGGTGCAGGACTCCTCTCAATCATTCCGGCAGCCCCTCGATTTGAAACCCTCCCGCGAGGGGGAATTGAGTCGTCCGTCGGTCGATGGACTGCGACTCTCAGCGACCCCGCGGGACAGATTTCCCCCACTCCCCAAGGAGGGTCTCTCTCTCCCCTCCCCCCGCCGCGTGGCCCTTCAGGCCCTCCAGCACCGGAGTCCCCCCCCACCCTCCCACCGCCCCCTTTGTCAAGAAATTCCTCCCAATTTCCAGGCTGGATCTCCTCTTTCCAGCTGTTCTCTCCCTTTCAGCCCATCAGAGATGCCATCCAGCCCGGGCACGGTCAAAAAAGTCAAGATGCAGAAAATATAGTAAAGAAATACGGTACTTAATTCTACATACAACAACGGCAGCAAGAATAGCATACGCCCAGTTCTGGAAAAATGAGAATATACCATCAGAGGAAGAAGTGATAAAGAAAATCCTGGACTGTGCTGAGATGGACAAATTAACAAAAGAGATAAAAGAAAAGGAAGACACAGAATACTATTTAATATGGNCAGATCACAGGGAGAAAATGGCTAGGAAGATTTCCAGCTGGTTACTGAACAGCAAATAGACAATGGAGGCCTTGAGTCTGCAGCTGAAGTGACCTAAAATTGCTTTTTCGTGCAGGGTGCTGGGCTGCCAGCTCCTCTCCAGCTCCACTCAGATTAAAGTTCGCTTCTCCGGGATCCTGGCGGGGAGGAGGGGGGGGGTTCCTGGGACACTGCCTGTAATTGTGAAGTGACCTGTTGGAATGTGTTTATTTGGGTAAGGTTGAGGTTTTGCAATTTAGCGCCAAGGCAAAGGCCTGTTAAAGGCACAGGGGACTAAATTAGCCTGCAATTGCTTTATTTGGATTTTTTAATAAGGGGGGGGGGGTGTTTTCCAACTTTGGCAACTTTAAGACCTGTGGACTTCAACTCCCAGAATTCCACAGCCAGCAGACCTTAAAGTTGCCGAGGTTGGCCACCCCTAATTTAGTGAGTCTGCTCTCTCTTTACAAACTCATTTTCTCCTCCTACTGCCTTCCTCCCAGCCCTACTGACCCCCACCCCCACCCCAGCTTCCCAGCACCAGGGTGCATTTTTTAAGTGCCCTGCCTGGCTGCACCCTACTTTTTCCACCCTAGACCAAATAATAATAATAATAATAATAATCATCATCATTCATCATCATCATCATCAATATCAGGAAGGCTTACTGACTACGGGAGAGACCAAACTGGCCTACAAGAAAGACCAAATGAAGAACAGAATAGAGGCATGGGAAGACAAAGCACTACATGGCCAGTACATTAATAAAAATAGCTGGGAAAGCAGATAATAACAAGACCTGGCAATGGCTAAGAGCAGGAAAGTTGAAGATAGAGACCGAGGGACTAATTCTGGCTGCACAAGACCAAGCCTTAAGGACAAATGCATACAAAGTCAAAATTGAGAAGACAGCAACAGACAGTAAGTGCCACCTATGCAAAGAAGCTGAAGAAACAGTGGACCACCCGGTAAGCTGCTGCAAGAAAATCGCACAGACTGACTACAAGCAGCGGCATGACAAAGTAGCAACAATGGTGCATTGGAAGATCTGCAAGAAATATCATTTGCCTGTAAGCAAGAACTGGTGGGATCATAAAATAGAGGAAGTCATAGAAAATGATAGAGTTAAACTGCTCTGGGACTTCAGAATTCAAACAGACAAGCACCTGCAACATAACACCCCGGACTTAACAATTGTCGATAAGAAAGACAAAAAAAGTCTGGATAGTGGACGTGGCAGTGCCTGGAGACAGCAGAATAGACGAGAAAGAACTGGAGAAGATCACAAAATACAAAGACTTATAAATAAAAATAGAACGAATGTGGCAAAGGCAAGTAAGGGTAGTACCAATAGTAATGGGTACCTTGGGTGCAATCCCAAAACAACTGGAGCATCACTTGGACACCATTGGCACTGACAAATTTGCTATCAGTCAATTGCAAAAGGCGGCCTTACTAGGAACTGCTTCCATCCTGCGACGAGATCTGTAATACCATCAAACATCCACATCTGCCTATCCCAGGTCCTTGGGAAGGACTCGGTAGGTAGACAAAAATGCCAGATCCAGTCTGAACATCTGGCTGACTGTGCGATGATCCATAATAATAATAATAATAATAATAATAATAATAATAATAACAACAACAATAATAATAATAATAATAATAATAATATATCCCAGGTCCTTGGGAAGGACTCGGTAGGTAGACAAAAATGCCAGATCCAGTCTGAACATCTGGCTGACTGTGCGATGATCCATAGTAATAATAATAATAATAATAATAATAATAATAATAATAATAATAATAATAATAATAATAATAATAATAATAATAATAATAATAGAGTTGGAAGGGACCTTGGAGGTCTTGTAGTCCAACCCCTCGCTCAAGCAGGAAACCCTAATTCTGCCCAGCCCGTCTGAAATGCCTCTGTGCCCCCCCTGCAGCCCCATCCACTGGCAGCAGAGCCTCTGCCCCATGGACCTGAAGACGGTGCCAGCCTCCCGAGAGCCGGGCTGGTATCTGAAGCTGATGGCCCCCAACGTCAAGGGCTCCTCCTATGCCTGGCTGGACCCCTCCCGTCTCTACTGCCACCCTCAGGTGCGGGGAGGGGCTCAAACCTCTGCAGGAAGGGGGGGCTGGGGACGGAAGGAGGGAGGGAGGGGGAGGGGCTCCCTCCCTCTCTTGGGGTCTTCTGCACCCCCCCTTGATCTTCTGCTCGTTCCACGGGGATGAGCCCGGGCAGTGCCACCCACCAGGATGGCTGCTACAGCCCGTCAGTCATCAGTGAGAGCACGGCTGCCCCATCCCCTGTGGCTGTGAGTTGTGGACCAGGTGTGCCTGGCTACTCCCCCTGTTGCTCAGTTGTGAACCAGGTGTGCAAAGCTTCCTCCTGTTGCTGTGAGTTGTGAACCAGGTGTGCCTGGCTGCTCCCCCTGTTGCTATGAGTTGTGAACCAGGTGTGCAATGCTTCCTCCTGTTGCTGTGAGTTGTGAACCAGGTGTGCCTGGCTGCTCCCCCTGTTGCT